ACCCGCCACCTTAGGTGTATGTGGCTGGCGCCTTAGCCACTTGAGCCACAGGCGCCAAACCTACCTTCTAAAGTGCTAGGAATATACAGGTTTGAGCTGCCCATCCCAGCCCTAAAGTCATTGTTATTATTATTATTGTTATTATTTTGAGACAAGAGTCTCACTATGTCGACCTCAGTAGAATGCCCTGGTGTCAGAGCTCACAGCAACCTCAAACACTTGGGCACAAGCAATTCTCTTGCCTCAGCCTCCCAAGTACAGGGGGGCTACAGGTGCCCACCACAAGGCCACAATGCCCAGCTATTTTTTGTTGTTGTTGTTGTTGCAGTTGTCATTGTTATTTAGCTGTACCCGGGCCAGGTTTGAACATGCCAGCCTCGGTGATATGTGGCTGGTGCCTTACCTACTGAGCTATGGGCACCGCCTAAAGTCATTATTACTAAAAGCCCAAGGAAGCTTTCCTTTTTCTGGCTTACTAGCATCAATAAAATGGGGAATGGGCTTGGCGCCTGTAGCTCAAGCAGCTACAGCACCAGCCACATACACCAGAGCTGGCGGGTTCAAATCCAGCCCTGGGCCCACCAAACAACAATGACAACTACAAAGAAATAGACGAGTGTTGTGGCAGGTTCCGGTAGTCCCAGCTACTTGGGAAGCTGAGGCAAGAGAATCACTTAAGCCCAAGAGTTAAAGGTTGCTGTGACTTGTGACGCTAGGGCACTCCAGGGTGACAGCTTGAGACGGTCTCAAAAACAAACAAGCTTGATGCCTGTGGCTCAAGCGTGCACCAGCCACGTACACCTGAGGTGGTGGGTTTGAATCCAGCCCAGGCCCTCCAAACAACAATGATGGCTGCAACCAAAAAATAGCTGGGTGTTGTGACAGACACCTGTGGTCCCAGCTACCTGGGAGGCAGAGGCAGGAGACTCATTGGAGCCCAGGAGTTGGAGGTTGCTGTGAGCTGTGATGCCACAGCACTCTACCAGGGGGACAGCTTGAGGCTCTGTCTCAAAACAAACAAAAGATGGGGAATGTAGGGGCTGGGGGGAGCTATGTCTAGAACGCTGACGTCCAAGGTCCTGATATCCAACAGGCATATATCTATGTCTTTATCTATGTCTACATAGATATAAACCAGGGGTGCAAAAAAACAATGTGGCACCCTCTGTGTACCGCCTTAATCTCTTAGGAGATACCAGTATTCCTTTGTTTCACTAATATTTTATTCTCAAGTCTCAGTTTAAATTTCTTTTCTTTCTTTTTTTTTTTTTGTATGAAAGGTCTTTATTGGTGGGGGAGGGAGGCTGCAGAGCAGCACCAAGGAGGAGAGAAAAAGAGAAGAGAAGAGAAGAGAGGAGAGGAGAGAGAAGAGGGGAGAGAGATGAGGAGAGAGTAGAGAAGAGAGGGAGGGAGAGTAGAGAAGAGCGAGGGGGAAGAGGTGGGAAAGAG